GTTTTATTTGCATTCAAGTTCTTCTTTGATTCGCTTTCGTGGGCTTAGTATATGACCCCATGTTATGAAATTTGAAAGAATATGTTTAAAGATTAATGCTGCCATCACGAAACATTCCATAAAACTACCGCATTTCATGTGATTATGTAAATTTTCAACTACCACTTGAAAGAAGTAAAACAAAATATGCAAATTTCATCATTATGTTCTCAACAGTAGGTTTTCTCCTTTCTGGATCTTAATCTCTACAGCAAATTGTACTTTTATGACTCTGAAGGACATTGTATCGAGTTTTGTTCAACTGAAAGCAGTAGAGAAGAAAAAGTATCACATAGTAATATAGCTTTTAAAAATTTAAATTTCACTTACTCTTTTTCTCTTTGGAAATTAGCTTTATCTTTTCTTTCGTATAAATATGAAAAAAAAATTCATTTTATTTTTTGTTTAATTTAATAATTATAAATTGTTTAATTTTAACTATAATATTTATTAAATATCAATTGCCAACTGATCATTTTGGAAATAAACCGTGTAACATTATTTCGGCAATTATCAAGAATTTATTTAAATGATCAATAATTTTAATTAAAAACTGTCTGCTAAAGCTAGTGTTATAAATAATTAAAAAAAGTATTCGAAAAAAAGAATTTTTCTTCTTTTATTTAATAAACTTAAATTAATTAAATTAATTTGAATACTTTTTCAAAATAAAGGTAATAAAGGTGATTGAACAGGCTATAAAAAGGTCTTCTTTTTATAAACATAGACGGTGAATGGTGAAATTTCAAGATATCCATATTTTATATATGAGTACTTCACTTTATTTAAATGAAAAATTATATTATATAACATATGAAGCTGTATTTTTTATTCTTTATAATGACTCGTCCGTTTAATAAACACAGGTTTATAGACTTAGTGAAGATGTTGCTGTCGACCAAGTGGAATAATAAATAACGACATTCATTTCTAATTCATTTCTAGAAGACACAGCCGAGGAAGACTTAGATAAACAAGTGCAGTAGATGCAACAAGTGCAGCTGCAAGAAAGCCCAGAGTCTCTACTCCAAACCAACTCGATTTTTTCTTGTAGCAATCACTAGAAGAAGGGCATCCAGCGTACAAAAGACTTCACGAAGGAGGGTTGAAATGCATAACGTCCAGTATTGCATGTTATCCTCTCACCACTCCATGAAACAAAAGGTTTAATGGGACACTCAGGCTTATCAATTTGAGTACAAGTCAACAGAGGTCTGTAATCTTTTTTGATATGTCCAGATTTTTTTGCAGTTCGACTCAGAGAAAAAGGAAATTATTGTTAATGCTGTCATATCCATAAGAGAGACAGATTTTATGGGTGAAATGTATGTGTGAAACAGACGTATAGTTTGAAAGGCTGAATTGACATTTTCCAAGAGGCATTGTTAGCACAGTTACTTCTCATATATGTAAAGATAAAATTCTTGATCCAATTGTTCATCCTTATACTGGTACAATTAGTGAAACTCCTCCGAAAAGCCGATAATGTTAAGACTTCATAGAGATAGGTTGGTGGAAACTTATGTTCGTAAACAGATTATTGTCAGTATATATTGGCAGGGCCATTCCTTGAGAATGTTTGCCATACGCTATTGTTGCACTTAACTTACTTCGCACAACCCTTCCGTATTTGCGAACTGTGTTGATATAATCATGGACTTTATTACCAATTGAATTATGTAGGGTGTAGTTTGTTCGCAGCATATCATTTTGAACAAGGGGAACCGTTATCGTGCCTGTGTTGTTCTTAGATTCAATATTGAACTTAATTGTTAATGATCACAATAAACTAAAATATAAGTTTTTTTGGTTTGTTACCATTTTGTGGATTCTTGGTTTTATTTTGTGTTTTGCTTGTGAAACATTATTTTATTAAAGTTTTTGAAAATTCCCTTAAATATAAACATACAAAAATTCTGCAATCATTTTTCTGAATTTTGAGAAACTAGTGTATAATACGAATATATGCATGCCTTATGGCTATAATCCAATCGTACATGCATTGCATGACAATGGTATAAAATTGTGATAATCATAGAGAATTTTTAAATACATAGATTAGAAAAAATATTAGAAAAGAATTTGGCATGTTAAGTATGCAGAAAATATTTTTATCCCATTTAATTTCTGATATTAAAAAAGGCAGTTTTTCAGCAAAATTAAAGACTTCAATAGTAATATTGAAGAAAAACATAATCTAATATAAATTGACATGAAAACAATTTTGATATGTTTTAATTAATAATCAAAATTGAAGTCCAAAATAAATTCTTTATCTAAGCCAACAAAAATGTAATAGCATATGTTATTTATTTAAATAGCTGTAGCTCATAGTTCAGTTAATTAAATGAATTAATATCTAATTCAGACATCAAACCTTCATTAAGCAAAATTTCTCTAGACCAAAATATTTTTCAAATTTACCAAATAAATGATTTATCCAATTTGTTTCGATAAAAAATTTAATATCTTGAGAAAATAAGTCAAAATTCCTTAACACCTAACATATGAATATTGATTGCATCTTTTTCAACGCTGTTAAGCATTTTATTTGCATTTCAGTAACGACTCTACAAATTAATTGTAAAGCCTAAAGTTTAAATAATCATCCATTCGTACTTTGTACCTTCTTTTACCTTTCATACGAAATCAAGTAAATAAGACAAAATGTGTTTTTTCCCCTTTTATTTGGAATTCTCCATTCCCCAAAGGGGAGAAAGAGTCCTCCTTCACAAATATAATGCAGAAACTAAAGTATGCCCGTAATAATAAAGAAAATAAAGTATGCCCGTAAACAATGGCGCTTTCACTGTGTAGGAAAGGAAATAGCTGAATGAAAACAGGATTTAAGAGAAAACTGCGTTTAAGCATTGCCTCAATTCCAATGAAAATGGAACCTCGCAAATAAAAATATATGCGCATTGTTGGCGATGTGGATTACACAGAGAAAATTTATTCCGTTTTGCTGTAAAATCAAAAAGGGCTGTTAAATATATTTTATCTTTTTAAAGAAGTTCTTCGATTTGATTTTGTCTAGTAAAGGTAAGTTGGCAGATTGATGGTGGTTTGACTAAAGCTAATTAGTGAATTTGTCTGTATTGAAAATATCAAATGTACAGTAGCAAAATTAAAGATTTGATTTAAATATATATCTGTACATATTTTTGTAGGGCTTTAAAAAAGTAAAGATATTAAAATATATTATTTCAAAAATTAATTTTTATTTGATATATATTTTCTGAACATCATTGATTAATTATTTTTGGTGTTTATTGCGTAAACACATGTCTTGTCTCAACTATGGAATCTAATGGACAAGTCTTAAATCGATTATTTCTTGCACAGCATTGCAAGCTAAAACAACTAATCTTTTTATTACAGGATGTAATTTTGTTGCATGCCTTACAGCTGGGAAAATTTATTTCTCTGTATAATTTCATTTATTTGTATATTATATGTAAATATTAATTTCTCTTAATGAAATGCTATGATGTGGGAATTTTTTACTTTATCTTACAATCTTTCTTCACATATGCTATAATCTAATTTTTATATTACCATAACATTTAGGGAGATATTACTATTTTATTGTAGACATTTAAACAGACAATTTAAGGCAAAATTATGGAAATAAAACGTAAAATTGAAGGAAAACATAATCTAATGTAAACTGACATTGAAAGAATTTTTATTTGTATTATTAAAGTATCAAAGCTGAAGTCCTAAATAAATTTTTTATCCAAGCCTACAAAATATAATAGTGTAAATTATTTATTTAAATAACTGTAACTCATAATTCATTTAATTAAAAGAATAAATATCTAACGCACACAGCAAAATGTCATTAAGCAAAATTTCTCTAGGCCAAAACATTTTTCTAATTTATCAAATAAAATTTTATTCAATTTATCTCTAGTAAAAAATTTAATCTCTTGAGAAACCAAGTCAAAAATTCTTAACACCTAACATTTGAAAATTGTTTACATCTTTTTTAAAGCTGTTGAAGAATTTATTTGCATTTCAGTAACGACTCGAAAAAGTAAATGTAAAGCCGAAAGTCTCTATAATCATCCATTCGTACTTTTCTTCCTTTTTTCTCACCTTTCATATGAAATCACGTAAATAAGACAGGAAGTGGTTTTTTTCCCCTTCTATTTGGAATTATCCATTCCCCAAAGGGGAGAAAGAGTCCTCCTTAACAAATATAATGCAGAAACTAAAATAAAGTATGCCCGTAAACAATGGCGCTTTCATTGTGTATTAAAGGAAACAGCTAAATGAAAACCGGATTAAGAGAAAACTGCGCTTAAGCATTTCGTCAATTCCAATCAAAATGGAACCTCGCAAATAAAAATATATGCGCTTTGTTGGCATAGTGGATTACACAGAGAAAATTAATTTCGTTTCGTTATAAAAATCAAAAAGAACTGCTAAATGTCTTTTACGTTTTTAAAGAAGATGTTCTTCGATTTTATTTCTTTTGATTTTGTCTGGAAAAGGTAAATTGGCATATTAATGGTGGTTTGACTAATGTTAAGCATTTAATTATGTATAAATATAAGATATCAATTTTATAATAGTAAAATTAAAGACATGATTTAAAAATATATCTAGACACTTTTTTCCAAGGCTATAAAAAGTGAAGATTGTAAAATATATAATTTTCAAAATTAATTTCTTATTTGATATTTATTTTCTAAACATCATTAATTAATTTCTTTTTAGTGTTTATTGCGTAAACATAGAAACATTTGGTGTCTAAATTTTGACGTTTAATTGGCAAGTCTGCAATCAATTACTTTTTTCACTGTATTGCTAGCTAAAACCACTAATTTTTATCTTACAGAACGTTATTTGGTTGCACGCTTTACCGCTGTGATAATTTGTTTCTGTATAATTTCTTATTTGCATACTATATGTAAATATCTTCTTATTTGCATACTATATGTAAATATGACGCCAACGGCCGTACCATGCTGAATATACCGGTTCCCGTTAGATCACCGAAGTCAAGCATCATTGGGCGCGGTCAGTACTTGGGTGGGTGACCACCTGGGAACACTGCGTGCCGTTGGCAAATTTGGGACCTGAATGGCCGAGTGTCTAGCGCTCTGGCGCTCGGTGCCACAGGTTTCGGGTTCGAATCCCGGTGGTGCCATGGATGTTTGTAGTGGTTCGGAATCCACTTTAAGCCGTAGGTCCCGGTCTTCTATGACTGTAAGAGCGTCACGGAGCAAAAGTCAGGCTTCTACCTACGGGTGCTCCATCACAACAGAAGCTGCTTCCTTCCCCTTCAATCATGAGTCCATATGGACTTGTGGGCTTGGCCAGCCAAGTGGGATAAGAAACAACAACAACAACATATGTAAATATTAGTTTCTGTTAATGAAATGCTATGATGTAGAACTTGTTGCCTTATCTCACAATCTTTCTTCCAATATGCTATAATTTAAATTCTGTGTTACCATAAGCATTTACAGCACTATTATCATTTTAATATAGACATTTAAAAATAAAATTTAAGTAAATTGAAAATGTTATATTGAAAAGATAATAAATTTTTATCACCTTTCTTTGCAAAATTCTTACTAAAAATTCCAAATTTTGTATCCCAGAATTACATCAAGAAATATGACAATATTAGTTTTATTTTCAAAAACAAAAAACTTAATTGGAAAATCTGGTAATGTGACAAATATTAGAAATCTCAAGTTCTATATTCAGGGAATGTTCGTTAAATACTGTAGTCTTAAAAATAAGGGTGCAAAGTAGCAAACCTAAAATGATTCACACTGGATAACGCTAAATCTGTTACGTATCTACAGTTCTAGGTTCCAACAATATTTGTCTTTTCTCACTTATTTAATCTTTTTCATTCTGATATTAATTATTTGTTTGTCTTTTTGTAATATTTAACTTTTTATTTCTATCAGCGCTCGGTATTACAAGTTTCGGATTCGAGTAGAGGCAGTGCCATGGTTGTTTGTATTGGTTCGGAATCCACTTTAAACCGTAGGTTCCGGTCTAACATGATCGCAGAGCGTTGTGGAGGTATTGTTATTCCGCGTCCGTAGCTTATCTTCAAGTTACAGACACCTCCTGGGTAAGTGAGTAAAATCAGTGTAGCGTTTGCTCTTAAGGCATCGAAGACACATGTCTAAGTGTTCGTCAGCTGCATTAGAACAAAAATTTCTATCAGATAAATAAAAAATCATATGTTCTAGGTTCTAGAACAATGCAAAATAAGTGCTAAAGAATACAGTGTATGAAAAACAAGGACTTCACAAAAGTTTATCCATTTATTGTTAGTAATTCCATAATATTCCACCTCATTCTAAGACCAGTCTTCTTAAAAACTCTTGTTGAAAGCAGTTCTTTTGGGAATTTCATCGATTAAAGTTTAGGGTAATTGCCTGTCGTAGGCTAGCATCATTTAAAACTAGGTGAAGCAGACAAATTGTTTTAGAATTTAATTAATCACGACTTTTGAAATTCAATAGTTCTAAGGATCTATTTACTGTTAAGAATGTTTTATAACAATGTAAGAACGTTTTGAAGATCAGACTTTGAAATATAATTGTTTGAAAAATTTATTTTATACCATGTATTATGTAAATTATTAATTTTAGCTTAAAATAAAAAAATTCTAGTGCGTTTAATTTTGAAAATTTGTTATTAAATTTTCAATTTTAGGGAAATATTCTTTTTTATTAATATTGTAATGCATTTATAGTATTCAATAAAAATTTTAATATTTTATTGTAAATAACGTGCTCATCTTGTTACAAATTAAAAGGATAAAAATATTTTATTCATTATTTATGGATGAGCTTTTCTTTGAAGAATATTTTCTTAGCGATGTAATTAATAAAATTCAATATACACTATCGCAGAATTTTTTTATTATCTCACAAAGAGTTAAAAAAATTTTAGTAATACAACTCTGAAATAGTAAATAAAAATTAAATATTGGCTATTATAAGGCAAAATAAAAATTAATATTGAATTTGAGAAAAAATAAACTGATTTTGAATTTTACATAAAGATGTCAAAATTTTTCATATATTTTTAAAACAAACGTTCGTTGTTTCAGATTAAATATTACTATGGTTTCGTTACATTTATACCAAAATCTCTATTATTTTAACATAATCTACAAAATTAATATTTTATTAAGAAAATGTTTAGATCCCGTAATATTATTTTATTATAGAGTTTTTTCAGGTCCTTTAAAATTATTTACAGCAAAAATTAATGAGTATAATTTATTAGTGTTATTTTTATATTTGAAAATAAATTGATGAATTTATATAAAATATGCATAAAACATATGAGGGCATATCATACTAAAATATAAATTCTGAAATGTTAAAAGAACAAATAATGGGAATAAATAAACTTGTCAAACCGAAAGCAGTACTTTTTTCTAGACTTAATATTTATTTAATTATGAATAAAATTGAGTATGTATTTTTTATATTATACTTTAATTATTTCTATATTTAAAATTTATTATAGTTTATTTATTTTTATTTAAATTTTATTATGAACTTTTAATACTTATCATATGAGTTTAAATGTATATTCACGTTCAATGTAAATTAAATCAAAAGTTATATTTATTCCATAATAGCCAAATAAAATTTAACTATTTAATTCATTTAAATATGAATAAAAAAATATCACAAATAGTTATTTGTATGAATAAAAATTGTCTACTAAAATATAAGAAGCATTTTTATAAGCTAAATGTTAAAATATGATATTTTTAAAACAGTTAGCATAAGATAATACAATAATACCTCTATTATTCCAGCTCCGATTAACCGAGTTTGAACTTTACCCAAGTTACTGAAGAAAAAAATCTTTATATCCCTTTTTCCGTTCTGACTAGAACAGGGGTCTCCAAACTACGGCCCGCGGGCCAAATCCGCCCCCCCCACAGTATTATCAATTCGGCCCGCGACAGCGAATAGCTTATTGTTGCTGTAATAAGTTGGATAAAAAAACAGAATGATAATAACTCGGTTTTATTGACTTGCTAGGTAAAGCTTAATGACAAGCATAATACGCAGAAAATTTAAATTAAGCATACTAACAAATAATTGAAATGAATCCCACTAACATTGTAAGTGAACATTCAGTGTAACAGTGAACATTCCGCGGTTACCCTCGGTAGTTATGTTGGCGTAAAGAGTATCGCATATGTGTGTATATCGATGTTTGGAATGTATATATCCTGAATCAAACATATGATTTTTATCATGAAAATCCCTAAGGAACAGAAAAGCTAAATTAACGCCAATGAAACTGCGGGGAATTCACTTGTAAAAAAATACTAATGAGATTTGTGTAATTGAGATTTTTCACTGACAATAGTTTGTAGTTAGCAAGTATATGCTCGCTCAGAGCGCTTGGCCCTTGGTACTTACTGGAGTAAACAGTATGGCTCTAAGGCTGGAAAGTTTGGAGACCCCTGGACTAGAATATTTTCATTTCTACTCTGCAATTTTCCATTCCAGTGATAAGCCAAACATACTCATTTGTGAAGGAGGATATTCTCAGTGTTAAATGAAGAGTGTATGTTGAAAGTGTTTTTAATTCACAGATGAACAATAACTGCAGAGTTGGTCGATGATATGACTGCAGAGTTGGTCGGAAAACTCAAACAACAGAGCAGTTATGATGAAATTAATTCTCATTAAAAGACCTTACACATTTTCAAGGTCTAAGTTCAATGAAAAAAAAACATTAAATTGCAATAACATGCTATAATTGAACTTTTGGTGAAACTTATACAATGGCTTAACAATGTAGCAAGGAAATGTTCATCATTCCAAAGAAGAATATATCAAGGAAAATGAATGATTTCATTCCTCACTTCATTATAACAGATGGGCCGGATAATCAAAGGATTTAATCTCCTAAAAGTTGAGAAAAAAAGCTGCAATACAAAACGTATTTAAATAGGTTTTTTCATTAAAAACTATATTTAATATTTTTATATATTTTTAAATATTCAAGGAAAAAAATATGACTAGTACTTAAAATATGCATTTTTCTAGATGCAAACCATGGAAATTTTTAAAAAAACTATATTTATTTTAACCAAGTAATACATAAAAGTATATTTTTTGTGACAACAATGATAAAAATTATTAATTTTTTTTTTAATTTATGCATTTAAAATATTAGAATTTCTTTAATTATATAACTAATAGTATTTGAAGTGTATATTATAAGGTACACATATACCATTAAAATTTAATAAGTTGTAGGTAAATTTACGTGTCATCTTGATACTTAGTAAAGATTTAAGTAAATTCATTTTATCCAATTTTTTGATTATCTGAAGGAACTTGATTTATATTAACTAATATAATTATTAGAAATGAGTAATTTAATTTTATATTTATGATAAAAAGCAAAACAAGTAGTGAAAATTTTTTTGACATTATTTTACTATACAAGATGAGAACTTTGTCTCTAAGAGAAAGAAAGGCACGTAATTTTAATTTAATTAATATTTAATTTAAAATATGATACATTTTTTTGAATTATAGTAACATAGAATAAATTATTCCACCTTAACATTTAACATTTGACAGAAAATAGCTATATTTTGATACACTATATACTTCTTTAATTATCAAAAAAAAAAAAATGTTTTTCTTCACTTTTTATTAAGGAAATTTTTATTTTCATTCACTTTAAAAATACTTGTATTTATTTATTTTTCCTTTAAATTATGCAAATAAGATATTCTTTAAAGTAAATGCAAAAAAATTATGATGTTTTGAAATTCAATAGAACAAAAATATTTTTAATCGAAATAAATTTTTTTTTTTTTAATATTAAAATTTGGATTTATATGATTCGCTTTGATGTGATACAAATGCTGCGAAGTCATTTTAAATAAATTGAAAATACATTGATTGAATCTTAATTCCGGTCTTATTACCATAACTAAATAAGTTGCATTCTTGTATAACACTGTTTATAATATAGTTAAGTAAACGGTTTTTACTTGGTATAAAAATATCTATTGTATTCAGTATTTTAAAGATAAGGAA